TTAAATATTTTAAAAAAGATTATCTGTATGGCAGTTCAGAGGAAATTACTTGAAATCTCAAATAACTGTATCTTCCTGTAAAAACTTTCTTTTTTCTTTTGCAGAGAAGAAGATGGTAATATGGAAATTACTATAACTTTTGATATACTGATACTATGTAAGTGGTATAGCTATACTATACCACTTTTAAAAGTAGTACTCTAGTCTCCCAATAGAACAGCGATTTAGTTTTGTGAACGATGGCAAAGGTAAAAGATAAAATTTGTCTTCGCAACTGTCAAAGTTTTTGTAACTGAAGATTTTTGTTTATTTATCTTTACTGAGCAGATGAGGTAGCCTAATTTAAATTAAGTTTTTAAGTAGCACTTAAATTATTCTTTAAAATGAAGTACTTGAATCCTCCGAAATTGTATTAATATGTGAACTTTCTAGATTAAGCACAAACATGGCAAGTGATGGTAATCATAATATTCCATTTTCCATGTGCCTAACTGAGCTGTGACTTTGTTTTTAAAGTCTACAAATTCTTGTGTTGATTGGATTAATATACAGACTAATTATGTTGTTCATATACAAGGTAGTATATTAGTGTATGAACATTTATATTCAATTTATACTTTTCATATTTTCATATGTATTTATATTGAGTATTAAGACCCAATTTTTTCAAACTTAAATTTCTCAATACTTTTGGTTTCTTATTATATTTTTTGACTAGTTTAATTTTACTCTTGATATTTTTGGAAGACAAAAAATTACATGATAATAACATTACGTAAGTTATTATTATTAATTTATTTGATCTAGAGCCTGATAAAAGACTTTTCCCGTTGAGCCATGTGGTACCAGAAGTAAGATCCGAGTGTCAAGAGCATGTAATAAGTCATCATAGATCTGAGCGATCATTTCCTTTCGTTACTCCTCAAATCATTCTGTTTCGATTAACATTTTTCTATATTAACTGAATCCTCATTGCCCCATTTATTGAATTTCCTTCAATCATCTTTTCTTCAAGAAAAATATTCCTTTTTAAAAATATTGAATCCCACTTATTCCGAAAACGAAGGAATCCAAATTTCTTCCAAAAAGTATCAATGTTCTTTTAGATTCCCAAGTATTTCTTTAAACGCTAAAGTGAATGTTTTTTCAGGCGTTCCATAAACATCACATATCATAAGTCGAATTAGACCAACAATCCGTGGCCGAAATAACCATCGATGAACCATGTCATCTGTCACAATAGATTATATTTATTGTACTTTTTTTGTTTATATAATTATCATATTCGAATCGTGACGTCATATTGCATATAATCCAATTTAGTACCTTCATATCTTCCAATTCAACGATATTCTGTTTCACAGTTGTATTGAGCACAGGAAAGTTGCCCAGTTCGCTAAGAGATGCTTTGCCGTCGCTCCTTGTGTTATCATTACAAATTGAGAATGCCACCTACATAGCGACCAGATATACATAGATAAAGTCATATAACTTAGCACGAGAGTAAAGTACTAGCTTGTTGAATAAAAGTGACCTTCTTTGAATTCTTACGTGTCACAAACTAACCGAGTATTAACATGCTATTATGCGTGTCTCTCCAACGCATTTCATCGGACCATTCGACTAATGTGAATGCGAAGATGTTACGACAAAGATAGACTCGATACTTTTTCTTAGTAAACATTGTATCCGTATAATCCTATCAATCCGATGCATAAGTTTATGTAGAGCACGACGAGTTCTCTATAATATCTATATTGTAACATCTGCTTAGCGATTAATTGCTAATGATAACGCGAGCGTAAGCAGAAAGACTCGGAGATAATCCGTGTCTTTTATGATGATAAAATTATCAATATTATGAATATCGTTGCATAATGATCGTTAGTTATTATTTTTGTTATAGCAAACTATTCACATGTTAGCGAATAGTTGGTGAGAATTTATATTACAGAACAGATGTTATAGTTACTGATTTCAACGAAATATACATATTTTGTTTATTTTTACTAAATATCTATCTAGAGCTCTTTTATATGATCCTACCATATCCGCCTCTAGCTTTACCAATAAGAATTTCTATCAGTAAATCGAATTATCCATTCTCTTCATTAAGGTAACCGTACGTATTGACGTCTGCTGGGAGTCAATTAATACTTTATCGACCAGTAGCGGTTAAACGTCTTATACATATCTTACCGGTCATTTGGCTGTAAAAACTTCCCTGACACCGAAACAAATTTTAGTTTAGATCGTCGCGTGCAAATACTTAATTGCGCTTTTTCTTATGCTTATAGAAATATTGCATCAAATTTTGTGAAAGTGCTTACTATATTGTTCGCTTTAGTAAGCGTTGGGGACAAATTGCCCAAATTAAAATCACGGAATATTAGAAGGAACAAAACTATCTAGGAGTGACTAATAAATTCCACAAATTTTATTCCTGCTTTCTTTCTCTACTTTCTTTCTTTTCTGATCATCTTTCTATCTTTCTACGATGATAGATGTACATCATAGTGATTCGAACAAAGATTTAAAGACTAGAGCATGGGAGAAAATATTTCATTGAATACTCCAAGCGATTGTCGAGCGCGAACGAGTGAATATTTCTTGTGATGAGAGAAAAAAGAGAGGAAAAGAAAGAAAAACTGAAGAAGAAGGAGATGGAGGACGTAAGACGAGGAAAAAGTGAGAAAGAAAAAAGGAAAACGGCAAATAGAAGCCGATAGCAAGAAAGAAAGGTCCGAGAGGCGGGATTGGCATGTTCGTTTCCTAAAGCATGTGTGCCCCATAAATAACATGTAAATATTTTCAATAACTGCCGAGGCAGCCCTGGCATGAAAAATGCAAACCGCTTTGCGCTCGTTCTTCGTTGTGCCGCCACTCTATCGGCCTGCAACGCTGAATACTCTCATACACATTCAAATACATACACATCTACATAAATGCACATATATGTACTTGCCTCCTTTCCTTGCTCCGCAAACTGTCTTTTAATATATCTGTATACACGCTGTCCTGCGTTAAATTTATGGACCCGTTTGCCGACCGATATTTGTTTCACTTAAGCGCTGCGACTTTGGTCCTCCTACTTCTCCTTCTTCATCTCCTCAAATTCTCCCACCACCTTCATCGTACTCGATTCGCTCGACTTATCTCGCTGTAGGGAAACATTCGTTTGCGCGAGCGCGAATCTGTATGCACACGCGAATTCCACTGCACCGGATATGAAAAAGGGCCACTATGTTACCAGAAATAGTCTTATATACCCGTTGAGTCTTGCATTTTCCTATCTCGTTCTCCATAAATTTGAAATGGAACCTGCACGAATATCATGTGTGTTAGTTTTCAAAGAACTAAGATGTTGTTAGAAAGAAATTGTATGCTAATAATGAAAGTGACAAAATATATATATATATATATTTAGCTTTATAACAAAGGCGAGATAAATTAACAACGAATAACGGAAAGAAATACCTTATAAATGTACGTATAAGATATACTTATCCCAACAACTCGTATTAGGTCTCATTTTGGTCGAATGTCATTCGACAATAAAAAGCGTGTCCATATACGGCCGATACTACTTACTTCCGTATACTTCCCGATACTACTAGTATCTTTCGTACTCTGCCATAGTTACTGATCTCTATCGAATTTTTTGTCTCGGAAGCGATAATGCACATAGTGACAAAACTGTCTATATAGACGTAAATAATAAAATGACGATCTACTTCACAGCACATTACCATAAATCCTCAGTGGAAATCATGGGAGCGAAGGACACAATTTAGTTTCTTCGTTTTGAAGGAAAAAGATATATATATATATATATATAACCGTTATTCTGTTAGTATGATATTTGTAATGCTCGAGTTTCCGACAATATGATTAGTGTAATATCGGTGTGAATCAGAATGACTTTGCATAGATCTCTGTAATAATATCTTTGTCACATCAACGTGTCGTATTTCAACATTGTGACGAACAAACATATCATTATCGCATCGAATTTGGATTCCATAGAATGTGCTTTGTTTGTTTTCTATCGTATTTATTGGTCACGCGATTTTGTCTTCGTGATCAACACTCAACGAAGACGAAGCCTTAGATTGATTAATTGAACAAAAAAAAAAGAAAAATACAAAGTGTGTCTCAAGTATTTAAAGGTTTCTCTTCTTATGTTTACAAAGATTTATGCTATGAATTTTCATGGTCATAACTTTTGTTCAATTTTGGCAACCAAGATCTCATTCGAAAGATAAAAATTCTTTTAACGAGATTATCGTTTTCGGTTTTCAAGATCGGCTGTTACATACCTTAAAATATTATTCTTGAAAATTAATCATTTTTAGACATGATTTTTGCAAAAAAAATAACATTTTTTCAAAAATCGCACCTCTGCTTCCTTGTTCCAGTAAAGTAGGAGAAGATGATTTCTGTCACTTGTCCTTGCCGCGTCTAGTTAGATATACAGCTTTTGTTTCTGTCTATTTATGGATATTTGCCTAGAGTGATAATTAATGATCTTAGATTAGTAATGGGAAACAAATTGATTGATACTGGAGACTATGTGACATTAGGAAGAGAAGTTGCCTATCTCTAGCCTAAAGGATACGTTATCGTTGCTTTCCAGCAACAAGAATATCATTGAGCATGGAAAAAGAAAATTTGAGTAGAATTATAAAAACCGACACGTCACATTGTTGATAGAGTCACTGTTGAAATTATCCATTCTCCACAATTTAGTTTTATTTACTTGCAATTTTGTCCTGACAAATCACTTTACTCGCAAACGTTGAAGCGTAATTGTTTTTCTCTTCCAATTATTTCACTTTATCAAAAAATATATATAATTTTTTAATTGTTTTTAATATCTTGCATTAATTATATTTTATTTATTATCCTCATAAATTGTCCGCGATATCGATAACTCACAGTAATATTAAAATATACATTTTGTAATCTTGAAGATAACATTTTCATCTTTTTTGTTACAGAGGTTTTGGATTCATCACGTTTGCAGATCCTGCAAGTGTAGACAAAGTGCTGGCGCAGGGTAATCACGAGCTAGACGGAAAAAAGGTCAGTTCATGACATTATTATCCGATAATCATTTAATTGAAAAGTATCAATAATTTTGTTTATCATGAATTCAATGACTTTGATAACCACAAAGGAAAATCTCTCGCGTACGAATTAAAATTATCGTTAAAACTCATCGATACTCAACTACTCTTTATGTATATATCTTTTCACCTCGAAAATATTGGACAAGCGAAGAGACGTAATTTACAACTGGAGCATCTGTTATAAAGTTTCTAACAATCTATCTCTACATCGACCTGCATCCTCGAACGATTTCAACGATTTGCAATGTATTGAAAGTTGGATCTTATCTTTTAATATAGCTCTAAAGTAAAAGTACGTATGCATGGCGACTTAATAGAACGGAAATAGAAAGATAATACCTAATCGCAAATAAGATGGGATCGTTAAGAGCAGCACGTTGATTCGTACGAGTTGCAACACTCTTGTTTCTCGTATCCTATTACGCACTAATTAGGGGATCATTAGCTTGCCACGACTAACGATCACTTAAGGTCGTGCGATAAGATAGAGAAATATGGAATGGGTTGAGATAAAAGAGCGGTGTATGTGTATGTAAATGTGTCTACAATGTATTCAAGTTGGATCAGGAACATTCTATAGAAGGAAGACGAACGATGCATCGGCTACCCGTAATCGTTCGTTCGGAACACGGTTGGTATGAAAAAAATTGTTGAATCTCTATTACCTTCTCACCACTGTTCCACACGCTTTCTTGTGCACGAATCCAACGTTAAATGTGTGTCGTGAGAGTAATTAATTTTCCATGTTCGACCCGACTCTCTCGTTTCGATATAATTGAAAGATCACGCTGCGAGCTAATTGATCAAACTGATAGATAAATATTGCATTCGTCTACGTATTACATATGGTGTGGCCCGTTGCATTGCGCAAAATTATTACTTTACCAGAGAGAAAGAATTAAAAGCAGAAGAGAAAAAAAGAACTAGAGGGTAGGATTGTGTGTGTGTGTGTGTGTGTGAAAAATTTTGTAAAAGTGTATATTGCAATTTTGATTATCTTAAAACAATTTAAACTGAAATTTATTTCTATATGATTATACAAGGATTCAGAAGGAAATATATTGGATAACAAAATTAAATGAATTAAATAGAAAATGTATGCGTTTATATTATAAATTTTTTTTTACATGAACAAATAAAAAGTAAGATATTATGCATCATTATTTTCAAAAATTCAAACTAATTGTAGTAAAGATGAGTTGTTGTTTTTGGCAAATATGACTCTTCTATCTGTATATTCAAAAGGAAAAGATCAGAAGAAAAGAATATTCAAGAGGAAAATCGGAGATATGATTCCGTGAGGATAATATCATAAGACAGAAACTGAGCTGGCGAGAAACAGAGAAATATAATTGCGAACATTAGCTGTCCACGATAGCATATAAGTATATAAGGAATGTAAGTATTGTCTAGGAAAGTACACCACGAATACATACTAACCGGTAGTTCATGGGGCTCATGTTATATCCAAGTCCACATAAATTTTGCGTAATTTGCTCAGCTAATGCAAATTGCTAAAGGAATGGGTGGAGAGAAGAGAAGAGAGGGAGAGAGGAGAGTAAGAAACAAATACACAGACAGACAGATAGATATACTAAAGCTTTCTTGATAGCAGAAGGGAATATATTATAGTGTTTTATAAAGAAATAATATGCGTTGTATTAAAATTCTATTATTCTGGTTTCTCTTTCTCTCTCTCTCTCTCTCTCTCTCTCTCTCTCTCTTCTTTCTCGTTTAAAAAAGAGAAAGGATGAAGAAGAAAGAGAAGACGAAGGATGATTAAAAAGAGAATGAGACATAGGTCACTTGTTGATAAAATAAAACCAGTTAAAAGTATTCTTACGTTATTATCGTCGTTTTTGGTTTTCTAGTGAATTTTGTTATATTAATTAGCGGATCACTCATTTTGCTTGCGGTAATGAACACTTTCATGCGATTCTTGAAAGCCCCATCGTCTTGTATTGCGTGTACCAAAAAAAGTATAACAAAGGATCGAAAGAAGCTACCTGAGTTCTGCTGAAGCTTCTCGGATAGTTCAGAACTGTGAAGTAATCTTGTGTTGTTTAAATCTGAAAAAGGGTGAGAAAACAATAGAGTGAGTGTGATACATTAAGGTTATATAGTTCTTTTCGCAAAACTCTAAATTACCAAAAGTAAGTTAAGTTCGAACTCTAAGAAACTTTAAAGATTAAATTGTCATCTTAAGATAATCAGCAAATCTATATCAATAAAATGAAAGAGATTAGCATCTCTTAAACGTAACGAACGATGATCATATATTATGTAGGCAACAGGAAAAGCGAACGTATTTCGGAAAATCAACGGTAGTTCACAGAAGAGCGATTTTGCGAATCGATGTGGTAGCGCTTCTCTCTATTTGGTCGAGACAATGATTTCGCAACGTGCTGCGTAAGCGCCTACGGCGGAACAATGCTGATGGGTGATCAGAATGGCCGTCAGATTGCGCTTAATCGGGCTGAGTCCTGATTAAAAAATGCACGAATCGCAGGGCTTGTAGCCCGCGCATCCTCATTTACGTTCCGTTTAATCTCGGCGTTGGTACTGGAAGTGGTTAAATCAGTCGAAACCGAGCATATTCTCTCGCTAAAAGAATCATCTTTTCAATATGAGATCCGTGTTTTTTACCTAGTTAGAGGATGTGTACATATCTATGTAAATATCTCTTTATAATTAAATTTTAATTCGAAATTAAATTATTCTTACAAACGATATCATTGTTGATTTGTTTTGTATAGGATTTAAATTCTAGAGATGAGCAGGTATTTCGTTATTCAATGAAATGATCCAATTTTTTCACTAACTTGAGATATTAATTGTTTATTTCATCGAAAATCAAAGATGTGATCGAAATTTTTGAAATTATACTGGCTCGGAGCTGATGGTCAGTTTTTAAATAGATTTGTTTTTTAAATTATGTATCATCAAGGATGAGAACGCTGAACGGAACGTTGGCGTTATCTGATCGCAGAATGAATCTAACGCCCTGTGGGATTTTACGCGTATGATAATGGAGGCATCTGAGCCTCATTAACATTTTCGATTTATGAGGAACGAAAACGATGCTTTCGCGAAAACAAATTGCATCTCTAAATTTGAATGCCCCGCTATGTTGCTCATTGTTGATAAAACAGATTTTCTCATGAAATGGAGGAAAAAAATAGAAAAGTAAGGGAGAGAGATAGAACTGAAGTACGTCATATTGTGGTAAATAGACTTGGAAAGATCGATTCGTATGGCGAAAGTACGTTGGACGCTTTCCACGTTTCATCATTAAATTATAATAATCTCGTGGAATTGATATCTACGAAATAATCGACTTTTGGTAATCAACTTTGTTAATGCCCAGCAGTTTAGAGTCTTGAGTCAGCAGTTGCATACTTTTTTAGAAATATGCTAGAAGATCAGTTAATGTGGATGAGTATCGAACGAATTGGGATATTCCTAAAAACCGCATTTTGTATGTGTTTCCAATAACAACAATCACTCCAGTAAGGTTTGATGTTGCAGAAATATCTTTCTTGAAAATCATCCTTTTCACTTCCTCTATTTTTCAATCTGTCTTCCGAATTCTCCTGTGATTTCCGAAGTAATTCCGGTGTCTACTTGTCTATCACTTATCACGACTTATCGTTTATGAAGAGATCCTCTTCTTATTTCCGAATTTTTCTTGCTTTTAATTCAATTAATCAATTATTCATTAATTGATTAATTACTCAAGGGGGAATAAATGTTCAAATTCCTCTTGTGGTTATATTTTTTCTTTGTTCGGGATCTAACAATTGAAGTTTATCAATTCATTATAGTTTCCCAGATCATTGCTTATCGATATAAAATCTACTCGATAAAGACACATCCTCACTTCCGTGATTTTCAGTGAACCATAAGTACTAATTAATCCTTAATGAACGTTATTGGTTTTTCTTTTCGATTATTTTTTTTCATTATATAAGGCCCAGTGTTATAACTCCATAATAAATGTAAAAAGAACTAATTTTGTTAAACATGAAGCATCCAGTTTTGTTTATAATTTATTTTTCTCTCACATATATCAAAACAAGGATTTGTATCTCAAGATTTTCTGAACACTCGAAAACAATGAAAAATAAGTAACGTCTCTCATCCGTGGAATAATTTATTTGGAGAGTCCGAAGCCACTAAGTCCTGCGGAAATTGTCTACACTCCCTTACAGAACTCCGGCTACCCTTGGTTTTCTCTTCTTCCTTCTTGTCACCACCCTTTTTCCTTTTCTTCAATCCTCCTAGTTGGCGAATCCGCATACCAGATCTTCCGAACTCCGCACATTTCTTTCTTTCTTCATTTCTTTCACTCTTTCTCTCTCTCTGTCTCTCTCTCTCTGTCTCTCTCTCTCTTTCTCTCTATCTATCTATCTCTCTTTCCTCTTTCTTTCCTTCCCGAGTGAATCAACAATACCAGAAGCGTCCATTGTCGAATGCTTTTAAATTTGAAATACAAACCGTCTGCCTTATCCGTCGCTTTTCCACTTCTTCTTTCACCTTCTCATCCTACTAGCAACAGCAGTAGTAACAACATCACAGAGACATTCGCATCCCCCCTTCGAAAAGGAGTTTTCATTCGCATTTCCTTTTCTGTATCTCTTCTTCGTTTCTATACTGACACGCGCGTCTTTCTCACACTCTCCTACAGAGCTATAGCTATATTTTTCAATTATCTCTCGACTTTAGATTGCCGCGCGTGCATCTTGTAAGCGAGAAAAATTTGAAGGCTATGGGAAGAAGAAAAGAAAATTATCTTTGCACGATACTCGTCGTATCGAAAAGATCCGAGAAACGATTAGAAAAAGAAAAAACGGAGAAAGAGAAAGTTATTATAACCTTTCATTACTCTTTCCATCTTTATGTCTATCTTGTAAAAAACCGTAGCGTCGTATTAATATTTCCGACAAATTTATG